TCCAAATGGAGGGATTGGGAGGGGAAAAGATAAAAGGAGAAGAATCGTAGAATCCCTACAGAGCAGAAGCAGGCCATTCAGCCCATCAAGTCCACATCCACCCTCTGAAGAGGATCCTATCCACTGCGCCTTGTTTTAACTCAAAATAAGTGAGGGTGGTGCCCTGTCTAATTCGTGTCAACTTGGTCTGAAATGAAAAAAAAGCCTGTCAATCATATTCAGATGGTGCATTCTCCATGGTAACACCTCTCCGGGAGTCCACCAATCAACATGCTGCTCTTGGGCAGTATCAAAGTGTTGGGTTTTCCCTTAAGATATTCTTGTGAATTGTCCTGATGAGTGCCAGATGAAACACTTGCCTTTTATCAGCAACGTTATGCTTGGAATTCTGGGATATATTTCTAATGATCTTATGACGTTGCGAGCTGTGTTCATTCATACCTCTGTTTATAACAGGTGCTGACAAGAACTGGATTTCCACGCTTGCATCAATTATCACCTGGTGGAAGATGGAGATTTACACTCGGAACCTGTGCATCTGTCTCTGACATCTCTCTTCCTGATCAGTTAGTTTTCCTCTCTTCTAAGGGCATCAGGTACCCTCTACTGCTGTGCTGCTGTGGCTGTTATTAAAACAGTCATACAGCTGTACAGCTCAGAAACAGACTCTTTGATCCTACTCGTCCATGCTGACCAGATATCCTAAATTAATCTGGTCCCATTTTCCAGCATTTTGCCCATATCCCTCTAAACCCTTCCTATTCGTGTACCCTTCCAGATGCCTTTTAAATGGTGTCATTGTACCAGCCTCCACCACTTCCTCTGGCAGCTTATTCCATACACGCACCACCCTCTGTGTGGAAAAAGTTGCCCTTCAGGTCCCTTTTAAATCTCTCCCCTCTCACCTTAAACCTATTCCCCCTAGTTTTGGACTCCCCTACCCTAGGGAAAAAGGTGTTGCCTATTTACCTTATCCATGCCCCTCATGATTTTATAAACCTCTATAAGGTCACCCCTCAGCCTCCGATGCTCCAGGGAAAATAGCCCCAGTCTATTCAGCCTCTCCCTGTAGCTCAAACCCTCCAATCCTGGCAACATCCTTGTAAATCTTTTCTGAACGCTTTCAAGTTTCACAACATCCTTCCTATAGCAGGGAAACCAGAATTGAACACAGTATTCCAATAGTGGCCCTAACCAATGTCCTGTACAGCCAGAACATGACCCTCCCAACTCCTACACTCAATGCATTGACCAATAAAGGCAAGCGTACCAAATGCCTTCTAAAAATACCTTGTCTACCTGTGACTCCATTTTCAAGGAACTATGAACCTGCACTTCAAAGTCTCTTTGTTCAGCAACACTCCCCAGACCTTCCCATTAAGTGTATAAGTCCTGCCCTGATCTGCCTTTGTAAAATGCAGCTCCTCACATTTATCTCAATTAAACTCCATCTGCCACTCCTCAGCCCATTGGCCCATCTGATCAAGATCCTGTTGTGCTCTGAGGTAACCTTCTTTGCTGTCCCCTACACCTCCAATTTTGGTGCCATCTGCAAACTCACTGACCATTCCTCCTGTATTGACATCGAAATCCTTTATTTGAGCCCTTAAGGGAATATCAGCTAGCTTTTTCAGCTCAAGAGATATTACAGCTAACTCTAATTGGGTCTTTATCAACATGCACACATGTAGCTGTATGCCAACATGATCAAGATTCACCCAACTCATGGACTGAGGACACTTGTATCATCTCGATTACTGTCCCAGTGCTATTCTATTAACACTCAACTGAAGTCTTGGGCCAAAAATTGAATTGGGATCTCTTTGGTGTGTTTGCCTCAGCTACCTATTGAATTATTTCACTTTCATTGCAAATGTCCTCTATCGCAGCATGCTGCTGTGCAGAGGGACCTGGGTGTCCTTGTACATGTATCGCAGAAGGTTGGTTTGCAGGCGCAGCAGGTAATTAAGAAGGTGAATGGAATTTTGTCCTTCATTGCTACAAGGATGGAGTTTAAAAGCAGGGAGGTTACGTTACAGCTGTACAGGGTCTTGGTGAGGTCACACCTGGTACTGCATGTAGTTTTGGTCTCCTTACTTGAGAAAGAAGGTACTGGCACTGGAGGGGGTGCAGAGGGAATTCACTCGGTTGATTCCAGAGTTGAGAGGGTTAGTTTATGGGGAGAGGCTGAATAGACTGGGATTATACTCATTGGAATTTAGAAGAATGAGGGAAGGATCTTATAGAAACATAAAATTATGAAGGGAATAGATAAG